CGCTTCATAATAGCATGCTTAGAAGGCACATCCGCTCCTCCGAACGCCCGACTTCGTCGACAACTGAAACAATTCAAGCTTCACGATGGTGTTTTACATCGCTATATTTACCACGTTGTAACCAAATAAGTACCCGTTATACCGCGTTATCTACAACGTCAGATTCTTGAGACATTCCATGATGATCCTGCTGCTGGGAATCTTGGCTATCACAAAACGCACGACGAAATACGCAGTCGATTCACCTGGCCTGGCCTCTCATCCGCCATTGCCAAATATGTTTCTCGTGTGCCTCAGGTCAATGGCGGAAACGACCCACTACTGCTCTTCCCGGCTTTCTCCAACCTCTTCCTTGTCCCGCTTTGCCATTCAAAGTCGTCGGGATAGACTTGTACGGCCCCCTTGACATGACCTCCAATCGAAATCATTGGATTGTGACGGCTGTTGACCACCTCCCTCGTTATGCGCAAACAGCCTCGCTGCACGCTGGTACAGCCACTGAAATAGCGGATTTTTTCTCCGTAACATATTTTTACGCCACAGCTCCACGTGTTCTGCTCAGTGACTCCTGAGCCTATCAAACATCCTATGTGACATCACTGCGTAATCTATCGTCGACTGCAGCCTTCCTACCTCCCATGTTATTTGCCCTTCATACTTCTCATGACTGTTGCAAATGAACAAATCATGCATTTCACACATATCCATGACAATTTTCCCTGTTGGCTCGGTATACCCACCTATATCTTCTATGTGCGCATTAATATTTCCTAGTATAATTATCTCGCACTCTCCTCCTAATTACTCAATGTACTTTGATGTACACTCCACCATTGCCTGGTTTTCCTCTCTGACCTTTGCTACCATCCACAAGTACACCAAACTAAGGAGTGTCATTTGCCCCGCCACTTTCCCTTTTAGCCATAAATGTTCCTTGCACTCCTGTTTGACCCTTTGCAGTCTGTACGTTTATGAATGAATGCCTCAATATCACTTCCCCCCTTTTTTTGATGCCTTCTGTTCTATTACAATATTCCCACGCGTAGTCTGAATTGTTAGGAGGTTTATCAATGTACCTAAGGTGTGTTTCTACAAAACCGTATACCATCGGCCTCTCCTCCCTTAACTGTTCTTCTATCTCTTCTCACTTCAGCCTGTTCCTACCGCCATGCATGTTAATATACCCTACGTCAGAATTGGCTCGGCCCTCATGGCTACGTCTATTTCTGCCCCAGACTCTACCTGTCCGAGATATTGGTGTCATTTTGAAATCGTATCTGTCCATACCACCTGTCAAAGAGTCTCCCTGGTTGTTTTTCTCGTTACTAGCTATCCTGCACCCGGCAGGGCCCGCGTGCCTCCCCCCCCCCCCCCCCCCCCAAAAAAAAGCTACTGCGCATCCTGCAAGTAGCCAACCCACCTCATGACCTCTACTCCCATCGAAGTGAATTCTGTCTCGTTAAAATTCACCCCACCTATGCACCTCTCTGTTTATTTCCACCACCACAAAGCATTTCTCTCGACTCATCCGCCATACCTATTGGTTTGCGTGGACAACCGCATTTTGCAGGCTGCTGTCACGCGCCGGTACCTAGGACTACCTGTATCACTACCTGTACCTGAGGAGAAATGGCGCGCATGTCATCGACCCCTTTCGCCAGTGTGGTCGCCAGTCCTGCCGTATCTTCATTTAAGACATCGTTTGAACCGCCTGAAATTATCAAAAGGTTTCGTCCATCAGCTGTAATTTTGAGTTTTGCGCTCCCTTGCCTGATGACTGCTTCCAGCTTGCGTCCTGGGAACATCCCTACTGCAACGCTCTTGTTTCCTCTTAACCTCTCTTTGGTTGCTTCTGCGCAGTGATTCGAATTCGAGTCCCCGGAGATTATCAGTTGCTGCGACTTTTCAGCTGGTGCCAGGGTCGACTGTGAGCGCTCGCTGCAGTGATCGCTTTAAACATTGCCGTCTCTCAGATTAAAGCAATATATATTGCCATCTTGGAGGCAACACAGGTCAGTGTCTTTTTGATGACATCACTTCCGAATCCAGCGGAAGCAGTAGTGTCGGCTGCAATCGCTCCTTGCGGACAAAGCTCTGAACTACGAGGAACCTCCCGTACCCACGGGAAAGCTTACGACGTCGCAGGCATCTTTCTAGTGGAGGCGTTGTCCTAGCACAACTCTTGAGGGGGCGTTGAGCTAGCCATACCATATGGACGATTTGCCGAAGCGGAGCCTGCGCGCTACTATGTTTAATCACGTGACCGTAAACGGGCCTTATCCGAGCCTTAGCGAACGTGTTATGCCAGCGAAGCGGCCGTGGCTGTAAGTGCCGGTAGCTGGGTTTAGAAGCCAACAAGGCAGCACCCGTGCAAACGTGACCTCCCGCTTCGATCCAAACTCACGCTTGCTACTTGCCCACTGTCATCACAGCAATAAATAAGTGGTGAAATCAACTATACCGCTTTGCTTGTCATCTGACGCTGGGGACAACACATCACGTATGTACTGTCTTTAATAAGGAGATTAGCTGTGTTTCTTTAGCCATGCATGCTAATCCTCGTCTCCGAGAACTTGAGAAGGAATCCATAAAACACTGCAAATTACGGACGAATAGATCGTTCTCGAAGCTTCAGGACGTTTATATAAAGCGAATAAACGCGTGCTTTCTGAACTTACGGGCCACACAGCACAGGACTGCGACACGATAAGATCGAGGCAGAAGGAAACTGCACCCAGAGGGGCTGCCATGACGACCTTCTCTACCGTGGCCGTCTTTCTGCCGTGGCCTTCTGCAGCACTGCTTAACATCCGCCTCGCGTCGTCTGCTGGGCGTCTCCACAGCGCCTTCTTCGCTTTCACTCACGCACACGCTATGGGGACGCCGAGCAAACGACAGAAAGTGGTTGTTGATCAATTCTGCACAAGGCCACAGCACAAAGACGGCTATGGTAAGGAGACGTTCTTGTTGTGGTGCCACCTAGATTTAAATCAGCAAAACAGCCTCGGTTTACAACTTCCAACCTGTGAATTGTGGCGCACCTGCCATTCATCTGTCCGAGTGAGTCGGGTTGGAGTGTGTCCATTCTAAACCTAAGTACTCTTTTTTTTTGCTAATGTAGGCACCAGCCTTACGGCAATTTAAAAGGACGTCGTCTCTACCGAACATGTCACGTTTTACTGAACAGTGTTGCTGAAATCGTAGCTGAAGTTTGTCAGGAAGGTGAAGTTTTGACTAAAAGCCTGTGACACAATTATGAGTCTGAATAGGAAAGTCACCCGCAGAGCTCTCATTTGCGTCCTCTCGCCACATTTGTCTCTTTGTACACATATGCGCTCTCTGCTTCCCCATTGTTGAGTATGAATTAAACACTCAAATTTCTTACAAACACGTTTTCTAAACACACAAATAGGTGCTATTATAATCCCGAATAGCCTGAATCGTAAGCAGCCCTTGATCTAGGTCGTATCAATTAGTTCACGACGCTATGTCTGCCGACACGGCCTCATCAAGTCTGAGGCCCACAGAGCGGCTTAGGCTGTTCCAGAGTAGAGTGCCTAGTACTCTAAATGGTTAACAACTTTTCCTAAGCAAACATGTGTACATGCGTATATAGTTGTACACATGCACAACACTTGTTAGTGCCCCTTATTACTGGAGTGTTATTCTTTTCTTGTTCTTTGCACATAGTGTAAATAAAGTTTGTTCTAAACAGTATTTTCTTAATAGATTAATGAGGACTCATAATGAATAAACGCTTCGTCTTAACACAGTCGCACGAAGTCATCAGCCATTTTATGTAAACACAGCACGTCACGAGATCGAACGTGGGCCATGGCACCCGCATTTAAGATGGATTGAGTGATATGTGGGGTGGAACACTCCAAAACCACCATATAAACATTTAGGATAAAGGCTAGAATGCGTGAGGCCCGAGTACTTAGATAGGGGCGTGCGCCTGAGAGCCCCAGGGGGTCGAAAATTCCGATGCCCTGAACTACAGCGTCCCCTCACAATCATATGGTCGTATTCGGACGTTGAGCCCCAACAGTTCTTATCACTGAAAGTACTTTACTGCCCCAAAATGAGCTAATACCCTCGGATAGGACATCTATGCGAATTCACTTTCAGTGGGACAGGGATGCCTGTAGATGGAGGGAGCTCGCATGTATTCCTGGACTGAGACCAACTATTCAGCCTGTGCGGATTTTTCGGGGACCATGGAGCGTGCTCCTCGTGCTCCAGCCCTGAAGACGGCGCGCGAAAAGCACAGCATTATTCGATTTCAGCTCACGTAATAAGCAGTACTTCCGGTAGTCAAGATTGATCTGGAGTTTCTCATAAATCAGCGCTCTCAGAGTCACTGCAGGTAGCTGGCCGCAATACCAAAATTTAGCCCCGCCAAGGTCGGGATGATAAAGGAACTGATATACGGGATGGAGGAAGGAGGTCTTGTGGAGAAAATGGCTCTTAGTACTGCCATTTGAAAGAACGTATTTCGATTGTTTTACATGTGGACCATTTCTCAAGGGGACTTGGCGTGAGTATTCCAGAAAGATAGCGATACTTATCTGCCGATTGTCTCAAATCGGTTCTCCGATTGAGAAATATAGACATCTTATCCAAAGGGTATGTCTGAACACACAGTGACAGCAGTGAGTGCCTTGCAGAGAAATAAGTTCAGGAGACCACTCCCGTCATGGTAGCTTACGTGAACAAAGCGTTGTCAATCGCAACACGTGAATAAAAAAAATGCAAGCACCGGTAGTTCAAATGAGTTTTGTGAAAGCCCGCAAGGTGATGGAAGGAATAGGAAAGGGAAATGTATTCCTTTGTCAATGCGAGCACCATTTAGTGAAGTCAGACAATTCATTTTCTGCGATGCTTCGGGCCGCTACTAAAGCGCCCATAGGCCGCGTGTTTGAGACACCTGCAGTAAGTAATACGCGCTTGGCGGCACTTAAATTATTTGAAACCTTAATATATTCTGAAACATGCAGTGGGACCTCGTTTGCGATCGAGCATGGACACGGAGCCTGGTTCAGACGGCCACCATGAGCGGAATGCTTGTGGGCACTCTGGTGTCCTCACTGGGTGACAGGTTAGTTTGCGTGGTTATGCGTTTGTTCTCGTAGCGAAATGACGAGTGGGATAGTAGGGCAGCATGATTACCTAGCACTATGCAAAAGCATTCGTAAATGATTGATTGATTGATTGATTGATTGATTTGTGGGGTTTAACGTCCCAAAACCACTATATGATTATGAGAGACGCCGTAGTGGAGGGCTCCGGAAATTTCGACCACCTGGGGTTCTTTAACGTGCACCCCATTCGTAAATGACACTCGCAAATGAAGTTTGTACATTTCAATGACACTCTGTGACACCCGTGGGATTGACGGTGTACAAACTCGTTAAAGTTACGCATATTCACTCAAAGGCTGCCAACAAAATAATTAAAGCAAATGAAAATGCCGGGAAATATGTTGTGTTTTAGAGAAATAATTGTATCACAATGTATACAAATATTTCAATATTTTACTGTCGCTCACGCTACTGTAGCAAAACAGTCTTTGGGCTAGTTGGTAGAGGTTCATTGTACACTTGCAACTTGCAGCAGACAGGTGCGTCGCAGCCTTTTGGGGCCACGTGACCAAGCCACCTGCTATGCTACGTTACTGCTTAACGCAGTGCCCAGAAACCGAAACTGAAAACTGTTCACATAAAAATGCTGGCAATTATTTATCGAGAACACATGAATGTTGGTGCGTGTTTCATGCTTCTTGGAGCTACAAGAAACGCTTGCAGCAAGGAACGCGCGTACCACAAATATGGTACACTACCTCCCCTTTGAGCACAGTAGTGCATTCACCGGAGTGATCGTGTGTAAAAGAATATTTCAACGAGAAATAAGATGAAGGAAGTTTAGGCAACTATAATGCTTCGTTTACCATTAACTCAGTGAATTTTCGCTATCTGTTCTTTTGCATTAGGGCACAAAAATAAGAAAGGTACCCAAATGAGGACGCCATGTCGCAAGAAGATTTGGCTAAAACTGGGAAAATAAGACCTGAAAGAACCTGCTCAAATGAATAACTAATAGACATCATGACTAATCAACGCCTGTTTCGGTATTTTAATCAATTATTGCCCAACACATACTCGGATATATGCGCACTGATAAGGATGGTCTCGGTAAACAACCACAGAGAAAGTTTCAGCAGCTATTGATGTTTTCACTTCTTGACCTATCGGCATAATTGTTACAGAGATAGAAGGAGCGAGAAAAGCTAACGTGACATGCTTTCACGTGAGCTGTATATTATCAGTGGCCTTGTGCTTTCCGAGTTTCCAGCTGGGAAGTTTCAACAGCGAAGGTGTTCTTGGTCGAATATTCTATGTCCGCCGATCCAAGGTAACGGTTTTGGGAACGATAAGCAGGTATTCGCCAATGATAATAGGTAAATATACTGCTCCCCATTGCTACCCTAGAAATGAAATCAACATTGAGCTGAACAAACTGGTATATACCACAGAAATTAGTGTGTACAATCAGAAAATCATCATTATTATAAACACTCGTGTGACACCGAAATTTGATAAATCCCTATACGCTCAACTTCTTCTAGCAAAGGAGAAGGCAAAGGATAGCCAAATAAAGGGCGTGCGAGTTGTTATAGGCACACCACTGTCACGTGATACCTTGTAGTTAGAAAAGGTGGTGACTATACTATCATCTCAAAGCTTCATAAAAAACATCTGAAAAACGTGAAAAAACATGATATTGCTCTAGCCGGACGCATAGAACACCACCTGCTTTGCTGTTTGCATCGATGCCCACGAATCGGAGATGGTTTTTTTTTTTTGCAGCCTTCTGAATTTGTGAGCAATCATGGTTACTAGAAAGTTCGTGTTTTGTTTCTATCCGTGATCTACCAGCTACTAAAATTAGGCTCTCTTAGGATAATTGAAGGTAGCGCAGACTAATAACACGATCAAAAGAAGGAACCGTGCTTTGTTGTCTTGAATGTGCTTTATTTTTTGTCCGCATTCTTCTTCTGCGCTACCACCAATTATGCTACCACACCAACCAGCCCCAATCGCCACCTTCATGGGCTCTCTTATGTCACAAGTGTCTGTAGTCACGTCCATTCTATTATGCCCAGAATGAATGCCACTCCATTTCCTGTCACAAATTTAGCTGCACAACCGCTCCAGTGAGAATAACATTTTAAAACCCGCACTGAATCCTCGTTTCAAAACTTCCTCTCACAATAATAAGCCCCGTGTGACACTGAGAAGCATTGCTACAAAAATGTTATAAGTGTTTCTGGTTTGGTGATGCTTCGGTTCGCCGAGCCTCGCAAAAGAGTGAAACAAAACGTGTCACCCATATACGTTGTAATAATGATCAGATGCGCATATTTGTGCTGCGCACATGGTACCACATGGTACTGTAATGGCGTTTCAGCATGCCGGCATTCTGCCTATACTCGTTTACAACCTAATGTTCAATTCCGATGGCAAATCGTGAGTGCTCGACATGATCGTAGAGCACGTAGGTCCGAGCGGGATCGCCTTCACTAACATGCGAAAAAAAAAATCACAGCATATACACGGAGTGAATGAGGACTGGTGTGGCGAAGTGTTCGTCAGTCCGTCCATGCTTTCATTCACCCATTCGTTCTTGCTTCCGTCAGTCCATGCAGCCACCCACGTGTCCGTCCATGTGTCCGTCCATTCATGTGACCGTCGGTGCATCCGTCCTTCTGTGCGTCTCTCCATGCATCCGTACGTCCGTCCGTTCTTCCGTCTGTCCATCTGCCCGTCCGTGCGTCTGTTCGTGTGGTCATCTCTCTGTCTGTCTGTGCGTCCATCAGTCCATCCGTTATTCTGTATGTGCATCCATCCGTCCATGTTCCATGCCTCCACGCTACATTGGAAGAGGTTCCCAAACAGTGGCTATAATTTTCACGCATGTAATCATTACCATACAATATTTAATTGGTGTTGAAATGCAGAATCCGAAGCTTGATAAAAAGACGTGCACTTCTGCGTCAGCGCTCATCTCGTAGTCCCCGAAGAAGCAATGCACATCTCTCGAATGCGATGTTTCTGCGTGGTACTTAAGGTTTTACTAAACAAACAATGCCACAATTAACGTAGTTTTTAAAATTAGGAAATTGTTCTTTTGCAGTTCCACAAAATGAAACAGGGGCAATAATCAAATTTGATTAGGTTGTTTGCCCCTTTTTTTATGAAACTTTCGCTGCCAGGTTTCTGCACTTCTGTATATGTGACAACTATGACTAAAAGAGAACAACGAAGAGGCGATGTGAGATTGACTTCGCGAATTTTTATTCTTGTGCTGCCTTAAATATCAAATGTGCGTTTCATGTCGCCGTGCTTGTCATCGTGTTTGAGGTAACGACCAATGTTTCATTCGACGTCTTGTTTCATCGAAATGAAAGCGCGTCGCAGACAGTGTACTTAACAGTGATGATCATTGCATATGTTGTAGTTAGGTCAATTGCCAAGGCGATTGGTACGCGGCTGATGTGGCGGCGACTCAAAGCTGTAGGTGAAGCTCTTTTTTTTCTTGCTTCGGCAACTTGCACTTCATGATGTTGCCATCATTGCGTCAGCCCTTGAATATCAACTTTTCCAAAGCAGGGCTCAGTTTTGCTGCAACAAGAACCACTACCTTCAATGAATGTGTCCGTGCGAATGTGTGTCTGTGCAGGCAAGGGGGTTTTTCTCTCTCAGGTGAATGCGAGTGAATGTCGTGCCAGACTTTGCTTTCACAGGGCAGTGCAATGCATCCATCTTTTCTTTTAATGAACTCTAATTTAATACAAACAAGTTATCTCTATGCGTAATATATTCGCGCAATACAGGCAAAATAAAAATTATATATATATATATATATATATATATATATATATATATATATATATATATATATATATATATATATATATATATATATATATATATATATATATTATGAAGTCTTGGTTTGGATTACCTTTTATTAGGCCCGAGGAACCGGCAGCCGACAGCTACGTGAATGAGCCAAGATGATGACGCTACGCGCCCTTATCGTGTCTCGCAGGTTTGGATCAGTCGTAATACGGGCCGCGTCACTGTCTGATTGTAGGCGCATAGACTCAAGTTCTTCGAGGCGCTGACAGGTTTTCGCAACGTCAGCAACGGTAGCCGGATTCTGGATCGCTAGGGCATTGAATGCGACGGGTGCAATCCCCTTAAGAAGCTGGCGCACCTTGTCTGATTCTGTCATTGGTGTGTCAACCCGGCGGCAAAGTGAAAGGACATCCTCGATGTAGGATGTGTACGATTCCCCGATGTGCTGTTTCCGAGTCGCGAGAGCTTTCTTTGCGAGAGCCGAACGAACAGCCGGTGTGCCAAAGACATGGCGAAGCTGATCTTTGAAGGCTGACCAGTCGGGGATGTCGATGAAGTGGTTGAGGAACCACGTCTTCGCGACACCCGTGAGGTAGAACGACACGTGAGCGAGTTTGTAGGTGTTATCCCACCGGTTAGCAGCGCCGACACGTTCGAAATCGTCCAGCCATTCTTCCACATCTTCCCCGCGCATACCAGCGAAGAGATGGGGCTCATGCTGGAGGCTGTTGATGACGTGAGAAGTCGCGGCCCGCGGTGGTTGAGTGGGAACGGCTGCAGCACCGGCCTCATCTTGGTGCGACATATTTCCGGACACCTGGCCCAAGCGGCGACCTGAACGTAGCTCCAGGGGGTAGAGTGGTCGAGAGGATGGCGGGGGATCTAACAGCACTTCCACCACGTATGAAGTCTTGGTTTGGATTACCTTTTATTAGGCCCGAGGAACCGGCAGCCGACAGCTACGTGAATGAGCCAAGATGATGATGCTACGCGACAACGATGAAGATGCATGAGCCACACATGATAATGATGATAATGTACCGGTGAAGAGGATGCGTATACTAAATGCCCACAATATATATATATATATATATATATATATATATATATATATATATATATATATATATATATATATATAAGAAGTAAGACTTCTCAATTTGATATCGTTAAGGAT